CTCAGTTGGTAGAGTGATACTAATGTATGACACCCTGGGTTTGATCACCAACAGCGCATAAAAATGGACATGCTGACATATACCTGCAACTCCAACACTTGGAAGGTAGAAGCAAGATGATCAGAGGTTCAAGTCCAGCCCGCACGATATGTGACCCCGTCTCGAATGACTTTCTCCCTCAAGGCTTGTTACTTTCTTGTGATAGGGTCCCACATAGCCCAAGCTGGCCTTGCATTATCTATGGAGCTGAGGAGGGCCTTGAGCTTTGGACCGTCCTGCCTCCCACTCCTGAGTGTTAAGATTTCAGGCTTGTGTTACCAAACCCAAGGCTTTGTGCCTGTGCTTAGCAAGGGTCTGATACCTGAGCTACATCCTTAGCCAAAAAGTTCCTTTTATTGTATCAGTTTGTTTGTTTGAATGAGGGCCTTACAGTGTATCTAAGGCCAACCTGGAAATCATGAGCCTCCTCCCTGAGTCAGTCTCCTGAGAGCAGGGATTACAATTGTGTGCCTAGTCCTGCTTCATATTATTTTTTGTATTCCCCCCCTCTATACAGGGTTTCTATGTCCTGCTGTCCTGGAACTCCATTTTTAGACAAGGTTGGCCTTGAACTCAGAGATCCCCCCTGCCGCTGCCTTCCAAGTGCTGAGGTGAAAGAAGTGTGGTACCACTGCTGCATCTTGTCATTATGGTTTGTGTGTGTGTGTGTGTGTGTGTGTGTGTGTGGTTTTTCAAGATATGGTTTCTCTGTAACAGTCCTGCCTGTCCTGACATCTGCTTTGTAGATCAGGTTGGCCTCAAACTTGCAAAGTTCTGCCTGTCTCTGCCTCCTGAGTGCTGGGATTAAAGGTGTATACCACCACTGCCTGGCCCACATTGTATTTTTAATTGGACAGAAATTACTAGATTAGAGAAATGCTTTCAGACTGAATGTATACAGAACATTCTAGAAATTTCTAACTTTTTTTTTTCTAATTGATGGAAGACGTTTACTTGATATAACAAGACAAACAGTGTTCTACCCAACCACAAAGAGCAGAAGAAATGGAAAAAAAAATGAGCATGGGCAAAAACCAAAAACAGGATGCCTAAATATTTCATTGCATTTATTTATTTACTTATGTGTTTCTGTAGAGACATATGCACTGGGCACAAGGATGCCCTGGCACTTGTGTGAAAGTCAGAACTTCAGTTTTTTTCCACCCTGTACATTCTGGGGTTTGAATTTAGGTTGTCAGGCTTAGCATCTGTTTTACTAGCCTAACCCCCCACCTCTGACCCCCCCAAAGAAAAACAAAAAACCTCAAAATACTTAGTGTGACAATATGCATATTCCTAAAACAGCACTTTAAAATTCCTTAGTTCTTTTTTTGAAACTTGTTTTGATGTTTTTATTTCTATTTTATGTGTATGGGTGTTTTGCTTGAGTGAACATCTGTGTACCATGTCCATGCAGTGCTCATAAAGACTATCATTTCCTCTGAAACTGGAGTTACAGGGACAGTTGTGAGACATTATGTGGGTGCAGGATGTCAAACCCTGCTTCTCTGGAAGAGGAGCCAGGGCTTGTTTTGTAATATTATTTTAACTGAACAAAGAGGTGTTACATTAGTTTCTTCTGCCTTTGTTCATGATGTAAAGATGTGTTACTTTTTTTTTATGTTGTATCTGTTTAAGGATGTAAGAACGTGTTTGATTATTTAAACATGTGCAACATTTGTTTCACCTTGCCTGCCTAAGGCATCTGATTGGTCTAATAAAAAGCTGAATGGCCAATAGCTAGGCAGGAGAGGGATAGGCAGGACTGGCGGGCAGGAGAGAAGAGAAGGAGAGAGAAAGAGAGGGACACACCTGGGGCCAGAAGTCAGGAAGCAGCCAGCCTCTGGAGGAAGCAGAAAAGCAGGGCATCACAGAAAGAAGCTTAAAGGTCCAAGGCAAAATGAAGATGAAGAGAAACAGGTTAATTTAAATTAAAGAAAAAAATTAAATAAAAGCTAGCTAGAAATGAGCATAAGCTAAGGCTGAAGCATCCATAACTAATAAGTCTCTGTGTCCTGCTCTGGGAGCTGGTTGGGGACAAAAGAAAAAGCCTGGTCCAAGGGCTTCTTAACCACTGAGCCATCTCCCAGGAGAACTGTATAAAAACAGAAGGTTGCTAGCAGCAGCAGAGCTCCTTAAACCAAACCCCATGTTTTGAGAGATGAAGGAGCAACTAGATGTGGTGTCTCATGCCTTTTATCCCAGCATGCAGGGAGCAGAGATAGACGAATCTCTGTGAGTTCAGGGCCTGCCTGGTCTACAGAGTGTGTTTCAGGACAGCCAGGGCTAGACAGAGAGACCCTGTTTCAGAGAGGGGGGAGGGGAGAGAGCGCGTGAGGCATCTTTTACTGACAGCGCGTGATTTCTTTTCCTGTGTGCAGACTGCTCAAAATACCAACCCAGTGCCAGGATATTTCAGTTTAGAAAGTTTGTTTATTTTTCATTTCCTTTTGAGGACATTTCGGTTTAACATCAGTCACCCAGCATTAGCATAACCTCCGACAACTGCGGGTCAAGTTCTGTTTTCTTTGGAGCTGGCAGGCAAAAGGACAACAGGACAGCAGGCCATTATTCTGGAAGGAGAGCTTTTTACAAAGAAAGGCCACGTCCCTGCCAGCTCTATTTGTTATGCATCTAACGATTTCTTCACGTAATATTTATTGACGAATTTCAGAGAACTTCAACAGTGTGTTGGAGTCTCCCATCTTCTTTTGAGACAGGGTCGCTGAGATTCAGGCTTCCACTCAACTTCCTATGTGGTGGAGAGGACCTCGAACTCTCCCCCTGTCCTCCTGCTGCTACCCAGCAGGAGCCGGGATTCCTACAGTGTGCCGCCACACCCAGCAGGTTTACTGTCTTTAGGAAAATAACCTGAAGTCTGGTGAAGGCTGCTATGGCCTTCCTGGCATGTCCCCCAGCCCTGTACAGAAAGAAGAGGGCTATGGGTGTGTTAATCAGGTTTTTGTCCCTGTGATAGGCTATCTGCGGGGATCAAATTTTTAAAGACAAAAAGGGTTTTCAAAAAAATTATTTAACTTTTTTGAGATTGTAATGTAATTACATTTCCCTCTTCTCTCTTTTCCCTCCAAACCCTGCTGTGTACCCTCTCGCCTTGCTCTCTTTCCAATTCATGGCTTCTTTCCCTTAAATTTTTTAAGGTTTATTTTATTATATTATGAATGTTTTACCTGAATGCAGGCATGTGTACCGTGTGTGCTTGACTGGAGTTATGAATGTGGGTTCCGGGAACTGACTCTGAGTCCTTGCCAAGAACAGCAGGTGCTCGTAATTACTGAGATGTTGCCCCGGCCCTGAGAAAAGGTTCCTTTTGCTTCAGTTTAGGGCAGTTATCCTTAACTTGTGAGCAGTGGCCGTTTTGAGGGTCGAATGACTCCTTCACAGGGGCTGCATATCAGATATTTACATGACGATTCAGAACAGTAGCAAAGTTACAGTTATGAAGTAGCAACGAAATAATTTTATGGTTGGGGTCACCACAACACGAGGAACTGTATGAACGTGTCTCAGCATTAGGAAGGCTGAGCACAGTAGAAAGATTTAGGTCTGTAGTGAGGCAGCATATCATGGCAAGAGCACAGGGTGGAGCAGGAGCAAAAGAGAAAGAGGAATGCAGTCAGGGCCCACAGCCTCCCTCAGGATGCGTTGCCCAGTGACCTTGGAACTCCCTACGTAGGTTCCACATTCTTCTTTGTTGTTGTTCGAGCAGGGTTTCTCTGCGTAGCTCTGGTGGTCCTGGAACTCACTCTGTAGACCAGGTTGGCCTTGAACTCATAGAGATCCAAATTCAAAGAGATCCACCTGTCTCTGCTTCCAGAGTGCTGGGATTAAAGGTGTGTGCCACCACCGCCCAGCTTTTTATTTTTCTTTTTTTGAGACTGAGTTTCTCTACACAACCCTGGCTATCCTAAAACTCCCTGTGTAGACCAGGCTGGCCTTGAACTCACGGAGCTCTGCTTGCCTCTACTCCCAGAGTGCTGGGATTAAAGTCATGCACCACTGTATCTGGGCAAGGCTCCACATCTTAAAGGCTGTTCCTCCCAGTACTGGTATTTTGGGGGCCAAGTCTTTAACACAGGGACCTTTTTGGGTAATTGTATCTAAGCTATGGCATGGAGCATAAGGAGAACACACAACATAAGTGTGGAGACAGACTTAAATTCTCCCCAATATATATGTGTGAACTTGGACTCGGTTTCCCTTCTCTGGATCCTAATTTCCTCAATTTTAAGATAGAAATGGCTGATAGTGAGGGCTCACAGCTACTGCAAGTTCATGCTTCTTCCCAGTGCTTCACCACACCAACATGGTGGGTTTGTTGGTTCCTTCTCCAAGAAGAGAAGAAAGAGTTAAACTTACTGATTTACCTGAAGGAGCAATGTGTGTGTGTGTGTGTGTGTGTGTGTGTGTGTGTGTGTGTGTGTGTGTGTGACACAGAGAGAGAGAGAGCGAGAGAGAGAGAGAGAGAGAGAGGTCACGATTTCAAGGGTGGTTTTTTTTTTTTTCCTGGCTCCAAAGACCGAGGGAAAATCTTTATTCCCTTCTTTATGTTCCTTGCTTACCTACCTCTGAAATTATCAGTGTGTGTGTGCGTGTGAGACACACACACACACACACACACACACACACACACACACACACAGATGAACTTAGATTTATGACCTTTTTCCAAAATCCATTAATCAAATATGCAAATATAAGAGATGATGCCAGCTGGTGAGATGGCTCAGTAGGTAAAGGCACATGCTGACAAGCTTGACAGTCTTTGACAACCTGAGTTCAATCCCCAGGACCCACCCAGTGGAAGGAGAGAATTGACTCCACAAGCTGGTCCGTGACTTCCATACTTGTATGGAACCAGGTGAACGCCCATGTACACCCCCCCTCCAACATAGCCAGATGTCAATAAAAGGGTGAGTGCTACCCAGTGAGACAGAAAATAATAAACCAAAGCTTTAGAGAAATATTCAGAAATATTACCAAATGCACTCGGTAGACCTGTTTACGTGAAATGGATATTCTCGAAACCGCACTCGGGAGGTCACCTTACAGAGGGAGCATTTCCTGTCTCAGGACAAAAAGTCCCAGGAATTCAGAGGGAAATATTTTTACAGTCATTATTCCAAGCTCAGAGTCAGATACGCTTAGCATCAGGTGGCAAACTGTGTTAGTGGAAGTCTACACAGCATTGGTACTGACAGGGCCTCTTTTAAGTAGGTGGAACGGGTCCGGACGGGTCCGAAGAGTTCAGTCAGGGGAGGAGAGGAGCCTGGCCAGCATCATGGAGAAGCTGTTTGTGTTGGTCTTTGCTCTCACCCTGCTGGCTTTTTCCTCAGGTAGGTTCTCTCTGGAAGGACACGGCCTATTTTTGCACTGACGCGATCATCATAGTGTATATTGATATTTTGTTATACTTTCTTTTTTGTAAAAGTAAGCTTTTCGAATTCCTATTATTTAGAAGGGAGGTAAATTACTTTCTTTGAAAAGTCTTAAGATGCTTTTGAGTACTATTTTCAGAAATACTGACAAGCCTTGAATTACATTTTCTTCTAAGGTTCATATACGATCACGGAAAGCTTGATGTACTTTTGTTATGCTAATATCCTTTAATGTTTGCATGAGGCCCCCCCTCCCCATTAATAATTTTGCAATCATACTTTCTGTGTGGGATGTGTGAAGAACAGATTTAGCACAGTCTTATTGTCACAGACAATAGATTGGGAAAGAATTTAAAAATGTTTTTTAAAACCGTAGTCGGGGCTGGAGAGCTCAGTTGGCAGAGTGCTTGCTTGGCATGTGGAGAAGCCCTGAGTTTAGTACCATGTTAACAGGGCACAGCTACAAACAACTGTAATTCCAGCACTGGGGACGATCAGAAGTTCAAGGTCATTCCAACTAGACATTTAAATTCAAGGGCAGTGAGGCAAAAGATCTTCTCTCAAAACAAATAAAAATGAGCCAAAACAAATGACAACAAAAAAACTCTATACATTACATAAATGTCTGCTGTGAATGAGCGGACCATTGCAAGAAGTACATAGATTTTAAGTTCCGAAGCTTTTACTTTAAGTTAACCATAGTAGAAACAATTTAAAATTTCCGAGTCCTCAGAAATGCCACATCCCTTGGGACAGATGCCTCTTTGTGTTTCACCATGATTGAACTTGCAAGTCCTCCCGGAGCACTGAGACGGAGTGTGGGCGCCTGGGCCTGGGGAGCCCTCAAGTCTCTCCCTGATTCTTTTCAGAGGCCTCCCCGATTCTGACAGAAAAGCAAGCCAAGCAGCTCCTGAGGTCCCGGCGACAGGACAGGCCCAGCAAACCTGGATTCCCTGATGAGCCCATGCGGGTGAGTGCTTGGCTCTGGCAATTGCCTAGCATACTCTGTCTTCTGAGTGGGCGTCTACTCTGAAATGAACTGAGTGCTGCTCACTGGACGGACTGTGAGATGGGGGTGCTAGTCCAGACAGCACTAAGACGTGTGCTCCTCACCCCTGGGGACGCTGGCTGTCCTCACCTACTGAGGACACGGTACTGAAAACGGAAATAGCAGGGTCTATAGGTATGTGGTGTACATGCCCTGCATCCTGAGGGGGCTGCTCAGCATCTCCCTCCTCTGCTCTGTTTGCTCAGAAGCTGCTCCTTTTGGCTGATGCCAACCGGCTGTCTGCCTCTTGGACCCCTGCATTAGCATCCTCAGCTGGCAGCGGTCACCTTGGGTAGAATCTTGGTACCAGCTGCTTCTGGTCGATGCCTTTGTTCTCAGTTCTGCTCTGGGGGTTATGGTTTCCACTTGCCTAGTCTTTCTGAACCAAGGCACCTGGGATAGCTAACATTGACTGTCAGCTTAAGAGGACCTAGCATTACTTTCAAGACAACCCTCTGGGTATGCCTGAGAGTTTCAAGATGGGTGACCCCACCCTAAACGTAGACAGCTGCATTCTATGGATTGGGTTCAAATCCAATTTTTTTGAATTGACTGCATTCAAAAAGAGAAAGCAAGCTGGGTGGTAGCTTTTATTTTTTTAAAAAGTGATATTCTTTTATTTATTTTTTAAAGATTTATTTATTATGTATACAGTATTCTGCCTTCATGTAGGCCTGCAGTCCAGAAGAGAGCAAGAGATCTCATCATAGATGGTTGTGAGTCACCATGTGGTTGGTGAGACTTGAACTCAGGACCTCTGGAAGAGCAGCCAGCGCTCTTAACCGTTGAGCCATCTCTCCAGCCCATTCTTTTATTCTTTGAAATTGTAATAAAATTACATCATTCCCCACTTCCATATCCTCTCACCAACCCCTCATGTAATCCCCTTTCTCTCTCTAATTCATTGCCTCCTTTTCTTTAATTGATTTACACACACACACACACACACACACACACACACACACACACACACTCCTAAATAATACAACCTGCTTGGTCTGTATAATGTTACCTGCATGTATATGATCTTGGGGTTGACAACTTGGCATTAGATAGCTAATTGGGAGGTTTTCCCTAGGAGAGATGGTTTCTCTCCCTCTTAGAATTCCCTGGCTGCCTGTAGTTCTTTGTCTATGGTTGAAGCCTCACAAGCTTTCTCTCTTCCATGTTAGCAATGTTCATTTCGGTTATCCTTGTTCAAGTCTTGTTTAGGCAGCCATGTTGACTAGACTTCATGGGTGCACGCCTTTCTGATATGTCTAGGAGACACAAGCTCACAGCACCCTCCCTGTTACTCTGGTTCTCGCAGTCTTTCAAGTCTCTCCTCTGCAATGATCCCTGACCCTTAGGTGCAGGAATTGTGCTGAAGATGTGAGTTGGGACTGACCTTTCCTTTCCTTTCCTTTCCTTTCCTTTCCTTTCCTTTCCTTTCCTTTCCTTTCCTTTCCTTTCCTTTCCTTTCCTTTCCTTTCCTTCCCTTCCCTTCCCTTCCCTTCCCTTCCCTTCCCTTCCCTTCCCTTCCCTTCCCTTCTTCCCTTCCCTTCCCTTCCCTTCCCTTCCCTTTCCTTTCCTTTCCTTTCCTTCCCTTCTTCCCTTCCCTTCCCTTCCCTTCCCTTCCCTT